ATACAAATATGAGATACTCAATAATATACCAACTTATAATGTCATAAGCTGACAAATTCCCCAAAAGGTAGAGATTTCTATCATTGTATCAATCAGTACGTTGTTGAAACTCATTAAAATATTGTTGTTGCTGTTGTTGTTGTGATTGTAGTTCTCTAGGCCAGTAAATTTTCCTATTACTATGAGTCAATTATAAATGATTGCATGTGATTTACGTTAAAATATAAATTATGAACAATATTTTCTCAGGCTCCATTTTGTTTCATATTAATTGAACTGCATGTAAAAAAAGTTCCATTTATCATTCAATTCTTAAGTCAGTCTTCTATTTACATAATTAGCCAATTTTGCCAGCCCTGCATACCCGTCCATCTTATTCTTTCAGTCTTCATTCCCATAACCTACTGAGTAAGTTGTCTGATCAAGAAATGGCAGAGCTTGTCCCTGACAAATCCCAGCGGGGCTCTAGGGATCCAGGGCTCAACCAACAGAGCACATCTCAGTCTGCTCTAGACTCCTCCCAGACTTGATGCCAGCCTGACTGCCCTGTGATTTCCCCATCTTCCTTTTTGCCCTCTTTCAAGATACCAACCTTTTTCCCGCTTCCGTCTCTGGCACTTCTCCCATTCTCCAGATTTTTCAAAGGCAACGGATGTGAGTTCCAGGAGCCCATCTACCAGCTTCATCAGCACCCCAGGATGCAGTTCGTCTAGACTGGGTGCCCTGCACTGCTTGGAGGTGCTTAGAGCCTCCCTGACCATCTCTCTATTACGTTCAAGCTGCGCTCCAAGCCACTGTGTCAGAAAGAGGATGCAGGATGTTGTTGTCTTCCCTCCACCTGGCAATTCTGTTCACACGCCCAGGACAGAGGAGAAACCTGGTGTCTGCAGAAGGGCTTCCACCCGGCCCCAGCTTCCATGAACCTCTCTGCAGCGCTGCCATTTTCCACTCTGCCAGAGCCCTCCAGCGCTATCCAGGCTGCCCATGGCAACCAAGTCACAGCTGCAGTTGGCAGCCAGCCCAGCAGGGAAGTCTGCATGGCCGGCGATGTGCTGCCCCCCCCCCCTTCCTGCCTGAGGCAGCCCCATCTGGACCTTACTTAAGATGGGGGGTCCTGTGAGGCGCCCCAGGGGAAGACGCTGAGAAAGAGGCCTGGCTGCTATTTCTCTGTGCTGCTCTGGCACCAGAGGCACCTGCTGAGCTGCTCTCGGCCTTTGCTGCGTTGACCAGAGATCAGTATTGTAGCTCCTCACTCAGCAGAGGGCATGAGATGCTCAAAGCCAGTCAGGGTTTGCCTGGTCCTCTGAAGACTGCCCCCACACCCACCCAGAAATCCCCACCAAGAGTATGTTTGCAATGCTCCTGAAAGCAGCACTGGATAAGCCCAGCTGCTCTCCAGGTGGGCCACGTGCGAGGTTGGGGTCAAGGGCTACCTGTGACTTGCAGAGTGGGGGTTGCCCACAGGTGACAGTGCAGGTGCACCGCAGGAAGCATCTCCTGAGAGAGCTCCTCATCAAGCCAGTGACCAGGGCAGGAGCAGGAAAGGAAACCCAGGTATTTGCTTTTCTAGGCACGAAAAGGAGAGGCTTTAACATACTTCTGCCTCCCTCATTCGAAGTTCCCAACCTAAATCTTTGATTCTATGAATTTTAAATGTCAGCATTCATGAAAGGTATTGACAACAAGCTGCACTGATTTCACACTGGAGCCTGTCTGAATTCCAACAGGCTGCGCATTTCATGGTTAGGTTAGCAAAGTGGGACACAGAGAAGAAATACTGTTCCATTCCCCAGTTTCTTTAACTTGCTGTTCTGTTGATGGGTCAAGAGAGAATCTGGCTGCACAGAACTCCTGTCTCTTCCTGTCTCTTTTCTGTCCCTGGTCCACAAGAAGTCAGAAAGGAGGGAGTAGCCAGCATCTGAGCCCTGGGAAAGGAGAAAGAAGCCAATGGAGGCATTAAATCATGTGATGCTCAGGAATGAAAACTAAAAGAGGCTGTTCTGGTTTGATGTGGAGCATCAACAAATGGAAAGGAGCCCTTGGTATGACATGATAGGTAAGAGAATTGATAGCTCCCTCCAAAAAGTAAGGAATACCTTAGGAGATCAGATCAACCCCCTCCTTTTTACTCTCCCCACCATGTCTAATTTTCAAAAAGCCAATGGTGGGAGCAATCTAATCTTGGCTGCTTGGCAGCACCTGGTAATTCAAGTTCAAAATCCACCGTCAGCGCTCCAACCTCACAGGAGCCACACTCCAATCCTCTCCCCACTCCCCGCCTCTCTCAGTCAGCATGGAAAAAGAGCAACAGCTGCCTCTCCAAGGTCAGAAAACTGGTGCTGGGCAGGAGGGAGGGGATCGGGGCCGAGGCACCCTGAGGGCCATCCAGCCTCTTTCCTTCCACCTCTGAAGCACCTCAGCTGAGTGGGGGAGCTCAGCCAGGAGCATGCGGAGTGGAGATGCGTTGCAAGCTTCAAGGGCATAAGATTATGATCTTGGACTAGATTGATGGGATATGGGACTTTCACCACATTTCACACCGCTGAAGTCAATGAAGACAATCAGACAACTCCAATTCGTATAAATACATAATTTCCAAGGGAGTCATGGCCATCAAAATGGCTTCAATACC